AATGTTCATTGAAAAATTCGGCAGCCTCCCGGCGTCTCCTCCCCACCGAGGGAGAAATCGGGGCGGCATTTGCCGAAATTCTTCCCGCCCGGATCAAAGATCGACGGCGCGAGGTCTTCAATTTTAAACCATCCTACCAGGATCAAAGATCGACTGCGTAGGGTCTTCGATTTTAAATCATCTCACCAGGATCAAAGATCGACTGCGTGAGGTCTTCAATTTTGGAACCATCCCGGCCGGATCTAAGATGCGACGGCCGAGGTCTTTGACACGGCGACGGGTTCGATGGTCGACGGTCGGCGGCAGGCCGGCGAGTTCGGGCGACTGGGGTTCGGCGACGTCGGCTCAGACAGGAGGATGGGATCGACGCCGGAGCAGGAGGTCGACGGCGAGGTCGGGCTTGGACGGTGTCGGGAGAAGAGGTAAGTTTTCTGAAATTTTTTTTTCTTTCTCTTCTCTGTGTATGTCTCTCTTGAGTGTGCGTAAGAGAGCGAATGAGGGGGAGCGTTGTTTTTTAAGTCGTGAGTATGTCGGTGGTTCAATCGTCGTGAGGTGGGACCGACAGAGGCGATTGTGTCGTTTGGGGCTTAAGTCGGTCGGGAGCGGCTGTTACAGTCAACAAGAATATAATTCTTTTTGTAATGAGTTCTTTTATATTGCTGGAAAGCTACAGGTGCATGAGTGGGTTGTTGTAAGGATGATGGGCTTGGTCACGCAGGCTAGAGGAGAATTCAGATGAGGCTTTCATGCGGGAAATTCTAGGCAGTAGTGGGATGTGGGTCCGGGCAGGCAATGGATGGGCCGCACAAATGAGAGGCTTCACGCACGGGATTATGTGAATTCAGGCCTGCTTGGTGTGCGGGAGCAGGCAGGAGTTCGATCATGCATAGGCGGGTCTAACGGGTTCACCTAGGGGGAAGAGAGGCGGGATCCTGAGAGTTTTATGCACAATTATTAGGTCCGGACACCTGACGTAGCTCTATATCCGGAGGCCAATAACTTGTCGTCACGTCCTCTTACTCTTTACCGCGCGGCCTGACGACCCGACTCGGACCGAAACCCGGTATTGCTATGTTCGGGTATTGCTAGGTATTGCTTGACAATAACGAGAAATACCGCTCTGTCAAGACCAATACCGAGGAATACCTAGCAAAACCGAGGTATTGCTGGGTATTGGTCTTGACATAATGGTATTTCTCGTTATTGTCGAGCAATATCGAGCAATACCTAGCAATACCCCGGTCTGCACAAATCAACCAATACATAGCATCTCGGGTTCGGTCCGGGTCGGGTTGTCGGGCCGCGCGGTAAAGAGTAAGAGCACGTGGCACCATTTTACTGGCGTCCGAACGTAGAGCTACGTCAGGACACCAGACCTAATTAAAATTCCAAAGCTAGAGAGGAAAATCGGGATGCGCAGAATGCACGAAACGAGCCCTAACTGCCTCTTTTGATTGCATGAAACGACACCAAGAAAACTATCTTACTTTTTGTTTGATTTTTTTTTTTTCGAAATTGAGGAGGAATGGTTATTTTAGCTTTAATTTTGACAAATTGAAAGCCAATTTTTATTTTAATTAAATTTAAGAGATAATAAAACAGATTTTACTAAAAAATTTCATTGGTTAAACGCATTTACATTTAAATTTCAATTTAAATGGCTTAAATTTATCTATTTAATCTAATTAATGTCAATTCTGTTTTAACCGTCTCACAATAAGTCAATTTGGGCTAATCAGAACTGACATTGTTCAAATCGAACTTAATTCAAGTCAATTTAACTCGACATCGCGTCTATTTGTGTTGACGTGCTCCAATCAAAGCCTATTTGACTCCAATTGCTACGAAAAACATCGATTTGGGCTAATCGAAGGAACCAATATTAAATTGAATTTGAATCGAGTCGATTTAACTCGATATTGTGTCGTTTGCATCAACGTGCTTCGATCGATGCCGATTTGACTTTAATTAATTTTGTCTTGACAAAATCAGGCTCAATTAGCATCATATTTGATAAATTTAGTTTGATTTAGTTCAGATGGTTTGATTCGACATCCAATTAATTCCAATTAACCCGAGACGGTTATGTAGTGTCAATCGAATCGATCGAGTTCAAATCGAACTCAAATCTAGTCAAATTAACTCAACGACGTTCGATCATACTATCATGCTTGGAATCAAATTGGATTACGATCAAACTGGGTTTGATTTTGGTTAAATTACGAAACCTAGTCGGTGCTACGTTATTGGGTGTCCACCTAAGGGAAATACTACCAGTAGATGTGATTATGCTAGGCTAGGAAGACCTATGCACTAAGGATCAGCTTGGGGAAATCAACCTCGTGAAAAAATGAGGTCAATTCGCATAAGAATGAAGAAACGGAAAAGTGGAAAGGATAAGTATCTATAAAAGGATGACCTTTTTTGTAAACAAACTCAAACTTTTAAAGAAAGAATTCAAATCACGTAAGCAACTGACCTCGTATTCATCATAATTGAAAGAGATGATCACTCTCTCCTATCAAACCATACATGGTTGGCCAGCATCCTTGAGGGAATCTTGAATTGCTCCTTGTCTTTCTTTAATTGTTGTCTTTTGTGTAGACTTTGAAGGTCTTGAATTTTTCTTATTCTTCTTTTGAAATTTTGTGTACTTTTAACTTGTCATAAATGAAATATCATTTTTTTTTAATCTGTGCTTGAGGCCTCCTATGTCTCGGTTATGGCTAATCGATGAATGATCTGGGGGTAATATTTTACAAATGTTCTAATGTTCTTATGTTCAGATCCGTTTGCTTTTTTGTCTAACATTATGGAGTTGCATTTGTTATTAGTGGGGTTTTACAAATGACTCTCAACTGCCGTGTACTATATGAGTGGTTAAATTGAAGATGCGTGTACAGAAAAGCAAAAAAAAAAGGCATTAATAAAGCTGTTAGATTGCCGTAGGAAGGAAAAGGGTTATCATTCTATTCTATTGCTTTCACAGCAGTATCTGGTTTAATTTAAATTGATAGAACAATATGATGTCGAACCAGATGATGAAGAAGAAATAGAAGAACAAAATGATGATGAAGAAGAAGAAGAAGAAGCTGGTGAAGAAGATGATGACTAATCATCCTATATGGCTATAAAGTTTGATTCCAAGCAGGAAGTGACAGAAAGCAGCTGTAACTAGCAGCCTTTTTTTTCTGTGAGACAATGTGTTCATTAGACTCTTCTGTTATTATCTTTCTTTTGATTCAAACTAGCTTTTTAGTTCCCCAAAACAATTTGTTTTTTCACTGGTCTCTTTTTTCTGCTTTGATTTGTATGACTTACAAATGCTGGATATTATTAGAGTTTCCATTCTGCTCAATGAAGTCTGTTTTCTGGTTAAAAAAACTAAATCTTTGCCAGCTTCCTGTAAGATCACTATATGGAGCAATTTTAATGCACGACGAGGTTAAGTATGAAGCAGAAAATCACAATCGAATGCATTTAAGATTTTAAACCGCCATGTTATCAATTCATAGTAGTACGTAGTTTAACTATCAATTCTTGAAACTATAACTTAATTCAGTGTTCAATTTATAACAGTCATTTAAATAATGAAGGTTTTTACTTTGCATGGTTGCAGCTATCGTACCAAAATGGCTATTCAAAAATCCCCCTCCCCCCCCCGGTCTCTTTTTTCTGCTTTGATTTGTATGACTTGCAAATGCTGGATATTATTAGAGTTTCCATTCTGCTCAATGAAGTCTGTTTTCTGGTTAAAAAAACTTAAGGCTTCGTTTGGGACGATTTTCTTCTTGCTTTTTAAAGCAGATTTCTAGTAAAAAATTAAAATTTTTTAACTAAAAAATCGTTTTAATAAGCAGTAAGAAAGCCATCCCAACTGAAGCCCAAGGCTTCGTTTGGGACAACTTTCTTGCTACTTTTTGAAATAGCTTTCTAGCACAAAAATTTTGATTTTTGAACTAAAAAGCTATTTTAAGAAGCATCAAGAAAGCCGTTCCAAACGAAGCCTAAATCTATTTGTCAGCTTCATGTAAGATCACTATATGGAACAATTTTAATGCAGGACGAGGTTAAGTATGAAGCAGAAAATCACAATCGAATGCATTTAAGATTTTAAACTGCCATGTTATGAATTCATAGTAGTACGTAGTTTAAGTATCAAAATTCTTGAAACTATCACTTAATTCAGTGTTCAATTTATAACAGTCATGTAAATAATGAAGGTTTTTACGTTGCATGGTTGCAGCTATCGTACCAAAATGACTATTCACTTTTCTTTCCCCCTCATATCAGCAAATGTATCTGCAAGCGAATGCTGCTTAAAAAAAAGAGTGAATTTTGCCACCAAAAAAATTCACACAGAAGCAAGAAAAAAAGAACGGCTCATTGTGCTTATGTGGCTAACCTTCTGAGCAAAATAAGTAAAATAATAATAAAAAAAAAATTAATGATTTAAATAATTTACTTGTAAACTTATATTCATTATAGGAGGGTGACAGAATCTTGATAATATTATAATATATAAGGAAGTAGTATTCAGTATTTAGAATATGCCATCAATCTTATTACAATTTTAATGATGATTCTCTAAATGCCAAAGTCATGTACAAGTCTTTGGTGGTGTATGAGAACCCCTATGGGTGCTGAAAATTTGTGCATCGATCTATCTGCAACCTTTTTTTTTTTTTTTGGTCGTCGAGGAGAGTTCTAAAGAGTAAGTTTTGAGGCAAATTTTTAGAAGTCATATTGAGTTTTAAATAAGACACTACCCAAAAATTTCACCCTTATTTTCTGACTTCATGATCTGAGCTCTGGTTTCCTATAGGCGCAAGCCCATATAGTAAATTACATCTCCCGATGATAAGAGATAACTTTCAATTAAGGCTAGTCGTTGAACAGATGCATAGTATACATTGTATCGTATCAGCGAAATTTGAAATTAAAAAATTGAAATTTATATCACCGCGCACTTAAAGCAAATGGTAGGGGGTGGGGGTGATGATGAACTCGATCAAGATCCCATGGTTCCGTCGTCCTGGGATATCGTGATTTCTAGTCTACTTAGTCATAGGAGCCAGTCGACCCTGACTGAAGGATCATTGTCGACAACCATGGGTTGCTTCGTCCAATGGTATCTTGTAGAATTGGGTGAATGTCTGTCTCAGGGGATAGATTTGAGTCCACCTTAGCTAATAAAGGGCTTTGTACCCTATCGATTATACACTATCGCTTCATTTCTCAATGCTTTTAGCACTGTTATGGAATATAAGGGCTATGATCATGATTGTAATTTAATGGTGTCTGGCGGCAAAACCACCCGGACAGAGGGTCTCGACCATAATCATTTACCTGTGGTTCTATTTGTATGTAAAATCACTTGTTAGAGGACATGTGTCACTTCACTATTGGCAAAAGATTGTTTAAGAATGAATCTTAGTAATATTCTTGACTAGACATTTGCTCTTTGTGAGCTAAAGTGATTTTCAAATTTGTCCACATCAGTAAAATATTACAAAGGGTTGATGGTTTTTGCTTTAAGTTATTTAAATGATTGAATTTTAATCTTAAATATTAATTTTATCAATAAAAGTAGGATTTTGAGTCTTTGATGGGTATTTGTGAATTGATCCATTCGATTGAGATCTATATTCAACACAGCCATTATCGATGTGAATTTATTATCACTCTAGATGTTTGTATTTTATAAGAATTTGTGAGGCATTTTAAATAGTTAAAGCCCCCTCTGTTTGAAATTTTCTATCAATATGATCATCATTAGAGATTTATTAGTATGATCATTTCATTGATTAAATCTTATCAACTATTTTTGCTTACAAATAATGGATCAGGTCAAGCTCCTAATTTTAGGAGTTGTCGTATACATATGGGAATTGAGTGTATGTATTTTAATAAATGAGTTTTCTTTATAAAAGACCTTAAATGCCTAAAATGAACATATAAACTTTAAATATTCTAATTGATTTAACAAGCAACGATCTCTAGAGTTTATATTTTTTAGTACTGAATATTTTCTTAATAGACTTTGAAGACCTAATATGAACGTATAAAACAAAATATTCTAGTCGGTGCTACGGTTGTATATTTGTTCGGTCATTAAAGTCACATCAACTCTGATCCATTCAAAGAGGAGGATCGTACTTGAACCTAACTTCACTTTTTACCCGCATAATATTCTCTATTAAGGGTTTAGGAGCGTAACGCACTTGTCTAAGCACATGTGGGTATCTTAAATGATATGTGTGAGTATGTCATCGTGCTTATATAATGTATTTTGTACGTTTGAAAACTCATTTATTATTTCTTTAGTTCGCGTAGCATCATCTAATGTCACGTGTAAGTGTCACGCTCGTTGGGGCCCAAGCGGTATTTACTTTTTAAGCATATTGCACAATTACACATTTGTATGTATATTTGTATTATTATTTGATGTATATTTACATGTTTTAAAACTTGTTACTTTCAATCAGCACAGCTTCCTCAGACGTCACGTGTATGTGTCATCCTAGTTGGGGCCCATGCAGTAGCATGCTTTTCAGTGCATCTTGCATTATTCATTGTTGTGTTGTGTGTTGTGTACTCCTGCTACATCTATATGTTTTATAGTGTATGCATGTTGTGTATTTGCTTGTAGTGTAGTGACACACATTATGTATTTGTTGGTAGTAAATACGTGTGATGCAATTATATTTGCATAATTGTATGTACTTATGTATTAGTATATGCATTTGCATGATCAACATAATGCATCTTCCATCAACATAATGCACCTGGAGGATTCATATGATGTGCATATAAGTGACACATAATGTATTTTCTTGACAAGCATAATGTGTCTGCATGATGATTTGTATGTTTGTAGGGTATGTATAATACATTTGTAAGGTACATTGACATAATGCATATACACAATTAAATAATGCATTTATATGATTAGTATGTCGTATCTTATGCTTGCACTGTACTTGATGCATTTTATGCTTGTTCAATACGCATGCATAATAACTTTGCCTGATTGTTGGTATATTTGTAAGATGCAATTGTATGATCAATGATATGCATATATATTATGCAATACGCCTGTATGATTGGCGGTATACATACATTCTACATAGTGTGCTCATATAGTGCATTCATTATAGGAAAATAACTCATCACCGGCGAAATTTTCCGGCGGTTTTCCAACGGTTAATTTTTCGGCGACTTTCTGGCATTTTTTTATGGAAGACAATGACATAACTTTTCCGATCGAATTTTTTGGCGGTTTCTTTCCAGCGGCTTTTCCAGTTTTCTGGCGACTTTTAAATAATTTAATTAAAATGATTAAAATTTTAATTATTTAAATGATTTAATAAAAATAATTAAAAATAATATTAACTTTTTCCTTAATTTAAGTAAAAAGATTTAAATTTAAAATTATTTTAGTAATTAGTAATTTAATAGTATTTTAGTTCATTATTAAGCTAATAATTTGTTTTAATTAAATTTAAATTGTAATAATTTATTTTAATTAATTTTAAAATTAATTTGTAATTATTAATTTTTATTTTAAAATAATTTATTATATTTAATTTTTATAAATAAATTAATTAGTGAATTTAATTTCATTTATTAACTTGATTTTGCATCATTGTATTTTTAAATATAAAAAAAGTGATAATAAAAATATATTTTCTACTTTAACAATGTAGTTGGGTGTTTGAAAATTTTCTCAACCTACCCAGGTTCGAATCACATGACAGACGGGCAGTTGCACTAGTTGGGCAGGCTGCACGGGCTGTTGGGCAGGCATTTTAGGGGAGCGGGTAGGCGAGCACTGGGCGCTGGGCTGCTGGATGAGCGCGGGCGGCTGGGCTGCTAGGCGGGTGCGGGTGGTTAGGCATGCAACCCAATGGTGCAGGCAAGCAGGCTCCGTAGGTAAGTGGGTTGGGGACAGGGTGTGCAACGACGCATTCACGGGGCACATATAAGTCTCATGACTTTAATAGATGCCATGCATGTTACCTAAAGCACTTGTGCACCCATGACTTGCAATGTGATTGATTGTTCCCATTTTATTATAAAATGTTTAACTAGAATAATTACTGGGGATATGCGAGGAGTCTTACATATTATTCATTAATATAAATATATTTCAATAAGAAAAGCAAATATTTTTTACTTTTATCCCTCCCCTTTTTAAGATAATAATTGCCCATATTTAGTTATATTTTTGCTCGTATTTTACTCGTTGGTGAATACTCGAGGAAATCAAAGTCAAAGCCATAAAATAGTAACTTGACTTGTTTTAAACATGATCCTAAGCTAGTGGGGCCCACAGATATTTTCTCCCTTTCTTTTAAAACAGGAATCTTAGGCTGGTGAGG